ATATTATTTGGTGACCCCCTAGTTCTTGTGTTCCAGAAAGGAATAAATAACTCTTCATTAATTTTCTCCATACCCCTCATGATTGTATATAAATAATGACTGGAAAGATCTACCGCCCAACATTAAAAGACCACAAACATCTGCCTTTGGGACTGTGTAAAGTAGACAATGCCCATAAATGTATGAGTCAGCTTCTTTTAGAAAATATTTAATTTGGGCCAGGTTCAGATTCTGAGAAGCATGTGAGCAAGCTATTTACAGAAGCTCTCTCATACCCTATACAGAAGGGAAAGTACCAAATGCCTCCATGGCACCATTTTTCTCTTCCAGAGACTCCAAGAGGCGAAGAGCTAGAGAGTAAGTAAACAGGGTATTTCTGTAGGAAATGGGTCAACATCCATAAAACAGAACAACTATTAATGTATTGTGTAGGTTAAAAACACTTCCTCTGTCTTAAAAAAAAAAAAAAAAAAAAAAAAAGCTGATCAAATTTCATGGCAATCTTTTTGCTTCAGTGAACCATGCAGACTTTTAAATGGGGTCTGAACCTTTGGTCTGTTCATCCCATTCCAGACTCCTCAAGTTTTTACTTTTACTTTCCCAGCATTTCTACCTTGCTATGTACAGTAGACAACAGCATTCTTGCTTTTAAAAGCACTCCCAGTTCCACACTGGACCTGCTCCACTTCTATTATGGATTAGTTGATACTCTGAACTAAGATTCCAAATCCTCTTCCAGAGAGTTTTTTTTAAATAGTTCATCTTAAGCAAACCAAACCCAGTGGAACCTCAAACTATCTTTCTAATGAGCAAACTGCTTGTAATTAGAGAAGGCCCCGAAGCAAAATCCTGGATCATGATTCCCCCGTTGGGGAAGTCTGGATGTGGCTCCAGATATGACTTTGCTGCCCAGCCTCATTTTTGTTTGTGTTGCATTCTTAACAAGATTTCACAAGCATGCAGAAGAGGGGTGTATCTCCAACAAGAGTTCTCTATCATAATACATTTTACCTGTAGCTGGACCAATTGTTCATGGAAGATTATTTTTAAGCTACCATTACTCAAACCACCATATAAAGAAAAAGTTAGAGGTAATAGGAGGAGGAGGAGGAGGGTGGTGAGTCAGACTCACCATGAGTAAAATGCTGAGCCTTTGAAGAGCATTACTGACACATCTGAGAAAAACAACTCTCTCCTTCTTCCTCCCTCTCCCCCCACAATAGCTTTGTTGAAACAAGCCAGGTGAAAATCTAAATGTCAAGACTGGTGCTGTCCTTTCTATATTAAAAAAGCATCCACACCAGTTTTTAAGGTGGTAGAACTCAGATGGTAAAACACATCAACCCTAAGAAAAGCAGTGCTACACACCATTTAGAACAAAGGCCTTATTTTTCATTGTTCCTAAGAAGGAATCTTAGAAAATGAATAAATTTTTGTATAAGGAAGATCCCAGACAATAATTCTCTGTGAACAGCTGGAGTTTACTGGAAATCTCTACAACAATTTTGAACTAGTTCTATGCAGCTACTGGATGAATGGTATTTATCAACAAGACAACTAGTGACAAAAGGTAGTTGTTCAAATCTAAGAAAATGCCTGAACTGCCTACCTTCAGGTATGGAGCATATAATGACATTTCTGTGGATTTTATGTAGGTCCATAGTACAACTCATAGACAGGAAGTGAGGGAGGATTCAAACCATTAAAGACTACTCAAAGGCCAAAGAGATACAAACAAACTTACAAACTAGGAATGTGAACAACTAGTTGACTAGTTGCTCCTGGCCCTTACTTCCTTTATCAGAAAGAGGCAGCAAGTGGGAGAGGAAGCGAAGGGGGTGCTTCAAAGCAGCAGCGCCGCATGGAGCCTGGGACCAGACCCTGGGCTCCACGCAGCACTGCCACTTTGAAATGCTAAACACTTGGATCCATCAGGTATTGCAACCAGGATGGCTAGATGCATACACAGTGTAACTCTTGCAATTTAATCAGAGCATTTGTTTCCCCAACAGACTTAAGGATTAGTCAGCATGACCATGAAGTTTTCCTTTTAAGTCTGGAGGAAGACTGCTGTTCTTTTCCATCTGCTCTCCCAAGTTGCAGAAGGTTAGAGGTTAAGCGATTCTGTTACCAAAGGAGGGGAGGGAAAGGGAGGATGGAAATATTTTCTTTAACAACTTTCTGCTGAGTTTATCCAAGAGGAGGGTGAGTGGCCCAACTTGCGTATCCCTAAACTGGAGACACGACTGTCATTAAGGGATATGACTGCTGGCTCAACATACTGAACACCAGTTACTTGATCCTCCTACTTTCAGAGCTGTTAGTCTGTATCCTAGTGGGGTCAGGTTAAGATTGAATTACAGCACAAGCAGCTAGTTTCTGGGTCTGAATGTGCCAGACAGCGAGGGCTGTTGTTCCTCAGAGGAAGAGAACATTAAAAAAAAAAAAAAGAGAGAGACTTCTTTTACACATAGTGTGTTTGCCAACTCTGAAAGAGGGGAGGGAGGAAGAAGACACTGGAGAGTACTGTAATTTGATGCATCACTGCTATGGATTTCTCGGTCTAACTAGGTAAAAAATAGATTTCTTAACACCCACCCCCATTTAAAACCATCTCCCTTCTTTAACAATTATCTGGAAATCCCGTGTTTCAAGAATTTCCCTGGGTTAGGGTTACACACAACGTTCAGATAATACAGGGAGCGCAGTCTCCTTCACTTCCTTAATCTTCAAGACACTAAGAACATTTCATGTTTTACCCATGTCTTTTTGAAAACATTCACCATCTGGCCCCGTGGTCTAGTTGTAGAGCCCAGGGTATTTGGGGGAAGAGGGGTTGATTCCCACTCTGCTGTCTTACTCCCCGGGTTAGCAGGGGTGAAATGCTACAGAGGGCGCTCCTACCCCAGTGAAAAGCAGACCAAAATGATCCTCTCGTGCTTGCTTGGTAAAATCACTGGAAGACTGAAAGGATTTATAGCCGGATAAGGGGAGAGATGGCAACAGACATATAGACTCTGTGCATCCCAAAGCACTAGGAGGAAGCCTGTCTCACTGTGTGGTCTATGGGATGGTGGCTCCTGCCCTAAGCCACACCCATGGATGTGCCAATAAAGCACAACCAAGACCATAATTTTCAGCATTCTGTAGAGCAGATGGAAAAGAATAGCAGTGTCTCCCTTCGTCCAGTCTTCAGCCAGAAAGTCAATGAGCAGAACTGAAAAAGCCACACGTATTTCACAAGGCATGATACCCCTGTTTGAAACCTTAGAGTTCACATTCTTGACACTCGTGCGGATCAGACATGCTGTGGGACAGCGTAGAGGAACACTTCAGATGACAAGCTCTTTGGGGAAGGGAATCTTTTTGCTTGTATCGCAACCGGGGTCCTGTCTGTGACCGGGGCTCACCAGAGCTACCGCATCACAAGTAACACTTAGTTCTTACAGTAAATAATGCTTGTTGCCAGGGGTTTGTTGGCTGGTTTTAAACAAACCAGGACGGGCTCACTCCTGGAAGTGAGATTCTTGACCACTAGCGGTTCTTCTGAAGTAAATGGATAGACCAAAAGTCTACGTTGAACGTAAAGAGACCAGTCCTATATTCCTGGGGAAGCTGTGGGTGCAACTATTCTGCAAAAAAAGGCTGGGGCAGTGAGTCTCAGAGCCTAGATCCACTGACTCCGGTTTGCACTACAGGGATAAGAACATCCTGATGTTCCAGCTTGGGCTGGTGCCCAGGCTCTCACCCAAACTAGGTTTCAGAGCACAGGGTACAGCCTGAGTCAGAACATCAACTCTGGTATTTTTAGCCCTATAGCATCAGCCCAAGTCATTTGACACAGGCTCGGAGGCTCACTGTTGTAGTCTTGTTCTGCAGTGTAGACATACACTAAAACTTTGCCAGGCCTCATTCTCCTCTTGCACTAGTTTTGCACAGTTATGACTCCTGCCTGGCACTGCAGCCTCGAATCCTCTCCTGCCCTACCCCCACGAGATTAAAGCACAGCAGCGCACGCCTTCCCCACAAGCGGAATCCAGTGTGGCGCCTCAGGGCTTCCTCCTCTTCCCCATCTCCCACAGGAAGCTGGCGCTAGTGCTGTCATCTTGCAGGGAGGGAGGGAAGATTCGAGGCTGCAGAGCCAGGCAGGTGGCAGCCTGAGTGCGGGCCAGGTGGCAGTGTCGGTTCCCGCTGGGTCCCAGAGCATCAGGGCCTTAGAAGTGGCACTTTGCTATGCTCTGCCACCCCCTGGTCCTCCTGCAGGGGAGCCAGGGACCAGCGGGGAACCCAGGGTGGCCCCCAAGGAGGAGCTGGAGGAACTCCAAGCCATGGGCTCTGCTTTCCCTTCTGGGGTTTCAGCTCGAGCTGGGGGGCAGAGCAACACAGAGTGACATGACGATGGCACTCTTTCACCCCGCAGGAAAACATTTTGTATATATAGAGAGATTATCTCAAGGCAACACTATTAATTGCCGCTTAGGGTACACAGAACATATGCTGATATTTGAGGTTAATATAACAAAATATGTGCTTTGCTGAGATGTTTTTGGGGTGTTATGCGGCCACTGCAATTTTATATCCATTGTTCATTTTTAAACAAAGCTTATTGTATCTTACTCAAGACTGAAAACAATGTTTTGTTGGGGGAAGATTATTTTTGTCAAAACTGAAGCAATTTCATTTGTCAACGAGAACAAATTTCAGTGGACTACAATGAGAAATGGGTAACGCAATCTTGCTTATGTTCAAAAAAATGGAGCACAAGATCAATTAACTAATGGCTGTAGCAACATACTGTATTTGAGAATTACAGCACTCACAGGAATGATTGTGTTCAGGAATGCACACTGGAAGTCGGAGATAGGTTCAAGATGTTTCTGAATAGGCTAAATCACATACAGATGTACATACAGCATGTCCAGTCAAAATGATTTAAGGCAGAAACATGCACAGGAAAAATAGATGAAGAAAAACAAATCATGCAGTTATAATTAACATACCTTGCAGTGACACCTGTTGCTTTCCATGATAAGAAATCTGGTAGATCAAAGAAGTAGCCTGCCTTTTCCCAGCAAGACTCTCTCAAGTTCTGACAAAATTTAAAGAGAGAGAGACGTGAGTTGCAATCATGGTCTGCCTTTATTTTTAAAAACAAATTCAAAGTTAGCTGCCAGTTACCTAAAAAAAATTACAATTTTTTCCCCTAATTTAAAACTCTGATCATGCAGCTCTTCAGACTGCAGCTACTCCACTGACTTTAGATGATTAAATCACTATGTTGTTGGGTCTTTCACTTGCTGGATGGTGCTAATGAGAATAGTTTCCCCAAATTTGGGTTTACAGAAGCATCCTTTTCAAAATGACAGTGTGAAGCCCTTTAAGATTAACCTGTTATAATTAACAGCACCAGTTTCCACTTTGGAACTCTGCTGCATTTACTTCAAAATGCAAGAAGAAATATAAAAATCAATCAAGTGCAATAACCTAGGCCAGTTCTAGCAAAATCACCTCAGCAGGAGTATGGTCCCTACAAGCCTAGGACTGTTGCACAGCATTGCCAAATTCCTAAAGACCCAGGCTCAATAATCTACAGAGAGCCCCAAAGTGCAGTGTAAGGAGCACTGGTGGTCCATAAACTCTTGCTGGTAATCTGCATAAAGATGGCAGTTCATGTAAGGCTGGCTCTTCTCCTTGTTACCAGTTTCTAAATTTAAGAAGATGACAGCTAAAATTAAATAAATATTTTCTCAATATTACTTTTCCATGTAAGCAATCATTGTACTTGCCATCAAGATGTCAAATGATAAAGAATGGGAGAGGATGTGGTCTGGACAATTGTGAATGGGAATGAAGTTTTCCAAGCGTTGTTCTCCATTAAGTTATGGTATATACTATGAAAAAAAGTGCAAGGATCATTGGCCTACAATATATAATGGCCCACACGAGCAGCTACTTATCAATCTATCAAATTCTAAGTATCGTAGGAACAAAATCATTACCATAACTTAGTGCTGCCAAACACAAATTTTCAAAATTCATGAGCCAGGCTTTCCAAAATGATGAGGTGGTGTTAAACAACAAAAAACCCACACAACATTTTTTAAATTAAATTGGGTATCTTTTTATTCACATCTTGCTTTTTGAGCCTTTTTCCCCCTCAAAAACCAGATGGACTCAAAAATTACTTTTTTTAAAAATGACAGCTGAGATTCTCATGTAATTACATGACTTCAGAAATTGTGACTGAAAGTTATACAAAATATCAAACATGCATCTCACGAAGTGGGTCTTTGCCCACAAAGCTTATTCTCCAATACATCTGTTAAGTCTATAAGATGCCATAGGATTCCTTGTCGCTTTTGCAGATCCAGATTAACATGGCTACCCCTCTGATACTTGACAAAATATTAGGAGACTCGCAATAAAATCATGACACCTAGAAAAAAGTGATAATGATGAAGAATAGTCATATGTAGGTAGAATAGAAGGCTTAAGGTGCTCCAGGTTCGACAGAGGTGCTTTGGCAGAGCTGCGTTAACTTTTAGGAGTGCCATGTGTCTTAAAATGTAGTAAAGCTTAAATACTAATAGTAATACATATAATTACCATTTTATTATTTGTATTACAGTAGCTACCAGGTTCCCCAACCAGTATCAGGGCCCCATTGTGCTAAAAATGTACAAACATAGTAAATGTCCAGAAAGCCTATACAGGCAGTCCCCGGGTTACATACAAGATAGGGACTGTAGGTTTGTTCTTAAGTTGAATCTGTATGTAAGTTGGAACTGGCATCCAGATTCAGCCGCTGCTGAAACTGACCACGGCTGACTACAGGAAGCCCGAGGCAGAGTTGCTCTGCCCCAGGCTTCCTGGAATCAGCCGCTGATCAGTTTCAACAGGCTGAATCTGGACTAGCTGCACACCCCGCCCCCCCCAGCAGACCAGGGAGACGCGGGCGGCGGACCGAGACGCACCGTGGTCCCGCCGCCCGGGTCCTCTGCGGCTTTGCTCCACGTCTCCCTGGTCTGCTGTCTCCAGCCCCACCCCCAGCAGACCAGTGAGGAAAAGCTGCTCCGCGTCTCCCTCTGGAGGACGCGGGCGGCGGGACTGCAGGGGCGAGAAAAACCCCATTCGTAAGTCGGATCCGTGTAACTCGGGGACTGCCTGTATTCTAAATAAATATAAAAAGTACTTCCAGCTGAACTTTGTGTTTAACACAGAACACTACAATAATCTTTTGACTACGTTTGTTATGTGACGGCAAATTTAAAATCCCAGAAAGTTACTGGAGTGGCATCTATAAAGCCAATAATATGGCAAAAATGTAATGTTAAAAAGACAGACATAGCCAGGTAAAGAATGAAAAAAAGAGCATAATTTTGGCTTTGGACATCCAAAGAACACATCTCCATGTTTTCTCTGGTTTCAAGCCTTTAGGGCTCACAGAAAGGACTGTACTTCTAATGAAGTCTGAAAACAAAAACTTTAATCACAGTCTTTAATCCTAAAAAGCACTAGTTGGATGTCTATTCAGACCACTTTGCTCCCAGACATGTATGATCATTAGTCATTCTGAAAATAACACAGTGCACATCTACACAACAAGCCTGTTATTTTGAAATAAATTTGAAATAATGGGCTTCTTATTCCAACTCCTGTAACCCTCATTGTATGAGGAGTAAGGGAAGTCAGGGAAGAGTGCTCCATTTCAAAATATCTGCTGTGTAGACAGCGCCAAAAGTCAAAATAAGCTATTTCAACTTAGCTACACAATTAGTGTAACTCAGGTTGCGTAGCTTATTTCGAGTTTAGTTCCTGTGTAGACGTGCCCTAGCTCCCTGTGAGAGTTTGGCCCTTTACATTTTAATTCAGAAGGTCAGTCAGCCTGGCTATTTTGACAATACATACCATAAGCTACTGGTACAAGTAGGATTTCTGTCTAAACACTAGGCTAGGATGAATCATGTAACTCAAACCTCACTATTCAGTAAAGAACGTCACTGAGCCCTGATTTCATTATTTCATGAATCCCAACAAAGTTACAGGTTAGCAACTCTATGATACGGTGTCTCATTGAGTGTCCAAATGATTCATCCTTTTGTCATGTTGAAACTCTGTCACTACAGTATTAGCTAGCACCAACAAAAATCATATACTGTAATTCCTTGATGCATTTTTCATATGAGTATAAACATCTCCATATTCTCTACATTTGCTGAAGTTCACTATTTGATTTTCGGTCACAGTGAAGGAATCCACAACCACATTAAAAGCATTGTGGAAAAGTCCAAAGAACATTCTCAATGCCATATTCATATCCTGCGACTCATCCTCCAAACTCATGTTTAAAGAAAATAAATTCAGTCCCTGTGCTTTCCTGGGGCCCCTCTAGTCTCTCCTCCATTCATTTTTCCTTTCTTCATACCCAAACCATAAGCCACAGTTAATCCTCTTTCCGACACTGTCACTGAGGAGCCTATAAACACCATTCCTGAAACAGCTTGGGGTGACACATTTGAACACTAGCAAGCTATCTCCTCCCTCGGGTGTTTATTTTACTGCCTCTGCAGCATTCTTAGCACCTTATGGCCAGTAGAGTAGGAAAGAAAGATTGGGAACACAAATCAAACCTAGCTCTTTGGCACAGCAATATTACCCTGCCACTGTGTCTACACACCAGCTTCTGTCTTGAAACAAGAGTCCTATGAGTCTCTTTCTTAAAAAACAAAAACGAACAGTTTTTCCACATGGAAAATGATTGGCTGATATCCATGACACCAAAGACTACAGTCCACTATTTGTCCACAGAACAAGTGCAGAAGTCAAAGCTTTTTCCTCTCACTGCCTTGTCAGCATGCTTCCACCTTGACCTGCAGGGTTTGCCTGTACAGTTGCATGGATAGCTGAGTTGAGTTAATTTGTTCCTGGTGAAAGTTTGCTTTTTAATGTTGATGAGTACAGGCAGTCCCCGGGTTACGTACAAGATAGGGACTGTAGGTTTGTTCTTAAGTTGAATCTGTATGTAAGTCGGAACTGGCGTCCAGATTCAGACACTGCTGAAACTGACCGCCAGTTCTGACTTACATACAGAATCAACTTAAGAACCCCAGGCGTCCCCAAGTCAGCTGCTGCTGAAACTGATCAGCAGCTGATTCCAGGAAGCCCGGGGCAGAGCAACTCTGCCTGGGGCTTCCTGTAGTCAGCGCTGGTCAGTTTCAGCAGAAGCTGACTTGGGGACGCCTGGGGCAGAGCAGCTGGGGTGCTGCTGGGTTGCTCCAGTAGCGCCGCTCCTGGGTGCTACTGGACCAACCTAGCAGCACCCCATCTGCTCTGCCCCAGGCTCCTG